AAACAGAGATCATTAGCTTGCATGAACTCTTGGAAGACTTGCATTGCAACACTTGATTGACTGAAAATGCATTTAAGGGAAAAAATAAGAGTAAAAAACCAGAACACCACCTACTATATGCAAGACAATATGTTTGCTGCTTCCCAAGACAAATATTCACAACAAAAATAGGCCATCTTATAATTTATTTCCAAATCTGAGCTGTGTAAAGAATAAAGCACACACTACAAGATTACTTTACAAAATTGAAAGGAAATATTCTACACTTGGGATCATCAGGAAAGATTACCTTATTTTGGTTTTTTTTTTTCTGGTGGCTGCAAGCTTACAAATACACAACACAAACTCATCTTTCCTTCAATGAATTCCTCTAATAAACCAATACAGCTTAAGAACTTGCTTCAACAACAGTCCACTACAGAGTTAGCTTTTCTGGATTGCTCATCTTTAAAAAAGACCTGCAGAGCTACATCAGCATTTTCCATGGTCCTGTATTCCTTCAAGAGAAGATAACCAGATGCAATTCTGACAACAAGTACACTATAATCCTACGACATCATGTGTTTGTGTCTTGGGCAAAGGAAGTTAATCCTTCTTAAACAACTTTTTAAAATTAGAATTTAAAAAAATCTGAAGTCAATAAAGCTGAAAGGGTACTTTTAAATTATCTCATTATGGAAAACAGGTAATTAGATTTTGTACTGATTACATTTGCTGAAAAGAGGGAAAGAAAATTAACATCTAAAGATTAATGGACAGTTTGTAGTAGCTATTGCTTTTAGGGACACCATAAGCTCATTTTACTACCCCAAACCTCTCCATTAATTCAATTGTTAAAGATCACAGCAAAATCACATTTATTTTGAAAAGGATAACATATGTAAACTCAGTTAATTTTTGGAAGACAAGATCACCAGATTACTGTAATTTGTTACAGAACTAGAAAAGACACAACGCAAAACTTAGAAGATTTTTTAAATGAACCCTCTATCACACTTTCCAGTCATCAGTCACTAGAACAAATACAGTAACTTTCACAGGCAGATGCAACACAGGTAAATTCTTTGGAAGGCAATGTAACATTAGGAAAATCAGAATAAGGTAGTGTCATATCTTTTAAAATAATAGTAAGTTTGTCAAATAACAAAAATAATTTCAGTGTGTCGCAAGGGCATGCTGCTGTCCCACGGACAACTCACTGTCCACTAGGACTCCAAGATCTTTTTCCATGGGGTCCTTTCCAGCAGGACGGCCCCTAATCTGTCCTGGTGCCTCATGTTATTCCTTCCTAGATGCAGGACTCTATGCTTGTCCTTATGGAACTTCAGGAGGTTCCCCTTCACCCAGCTCTCCAGCCTGTTCAGATCTCATTGGATGGCAGCACAGCCTGCCTGTGTGTCAGCCACCCCTCCCAGTTTTGTATCATCAGCGAACTTGCTGAGGGTGCACTCTGTCCCCTCATCCAGGTCGTTGATGAAGATATTGAACAAAACTGGACCCAGCACTGATCCTTGGGGAACACCATTGGCCACAGGCCTCCAACTTGGCTCTGTACTGCTGATGACAACCCTCTGAACTCTGTTCCTGAGTCAGTTAACAATTCACCTCACAGTCCAATCATGTATCTCACATTTCTTGAGTTTTCCTATGAGGATGTTACAGGAGACAGTATCAAAAGCTTTACTGAACTCAAAGTATATGACACCTACTGCTCTCCCTTCATCTACCCATTTGGTCACACTTTCATAGAAGGGTATCAGACTAGTCAAGCAGGATTTCCCCTTAGTAAATCCATGTTGACTACCCCTGCCAATCTTCTTTTCTTCCATTTGGATAGAAACAGCCTTCGGAATGAGTTGCTCCATCACCTTTCCAGGGATGGAGGTGAGGCTGACTTGTCTGTAGTCAACTAGGTCCTCCTTCTTGCCCTTTTTGAAGACCGGAGTCACATCGGTTTTCTTCCAGTCCTCAGGCACCTCTCTTGTTCCCCATGATTTTTCAAAAATTATGAAAAGGGGCTCAGCAACGTCAGCCAGCTCTCTCAGCACACGTGGAGGCACCCCGTTGGGGCCCGTGGATTTGTGTATTCACAGAGTGGTTGAGGTTGGAAGAGGCCTCTGGAGGTCGTCTGGTCCAATCCCCCTGCTAAAAGCATGGCCACATAGAGCCAAGACGCCCAGGACAGCATCCAGACAACTTTTGAGTATCTCCAAATACAAGGATTATAACATACACCAAACTTTAAAGACACAGAAAAAATAAAACTGTACCTTGCTGAACCAAGCAAATGTGCTGCTGAGAACACAGATGTTCTTTCCATAATTATTTTTTCTTAAAGGGACTACCAAAACAGAGAGGCTTTTATTTGGTATCAGAGCAATTAGGAGCACAACTCATGATGGCAGATAATAATTTCAGAGGTTCCTGTTGACAGTTGCTCTTTTTGGCTACATGACTTAATCCAACCCTAGCAAAACAGAGGTCCAATTCACAGGTCTTAAGTTGACACTAGATGTCCTCCACAGTATTTTTCCAATTTTCTTCAGTTGCGTAAATTAAGATTTCAGATGAGAATAAATTACACGTATATCTTCTTTTTTTCTTCCTTTTTTTAAGCTCATGTATTAAAGACTAGAGGTGGATTTTAATGAAAGCTGAGATAACACCATATGACTCCAAAAACTTGATATACATGTTAATCTAAACGCCTTCAGCATGTAAAACCTAGCACCTCATTTGCACTAGCAAAAGTGAGTCACTGAATTTTACATCCTCCTAGTCAGAACCTAAGCTTTTAAGAAACTTGCTATTAAAAGACTTCTCACAATAAAATAAAATAAAATAAAATAAAAATAATGGAGCCCTAAATCAAGCTTGCATTGGATAAATACTGTATTCTGTAATACAGTCTACACAGAAATAGTAACTTCAAGGAGGAAAAAATCATTGTCATTAACATTTAAAAACCAGCTTGACAGTATGACTGAATTCCAAACAGCTGCAAATCTAAATGTTTAGATGACAGATAAAGTACGTTTTACCCTCGCAAACCATTCTTTGTGTGCAATTAGTTACTAATTTGATGATAAGAGAAGTAAAATAAATCTTTTTTATTTTGATCACACCAAAGGAGTCAGCAGTCTAAAGTCCATGATATTTTCTTCTGACATTTTTATGCAGGAGAGCTAGAAACTTACATTTTTATATTTACCTACTACTCTCATCAGTGCTAAGAAGTATTTTACAGTATAAACAGGGCACATGTTCTTGCCTGCTCTAAACCTTTAAAACATTTTTCTTCATTCTGTGGAATCTTTTTGGTCCAAGAGACTATGTTTTTAAGCAAGATATAATCACTTTACCTGAAAATGGTTCTCCTGATTCAACGAAATTTGTTTTACAGATCCACGATCTAGATTTAACTTCAGATTTTTGCACAGAACCACTGGCAACTTCCTTCCATATCACTCACATGAGAGATGGCAAAAGTGGCAGCAGCAAGGTTCATAAATGATGAGGCTTTCCAGGGTTCTCTCATTTAGAAGCAACATAAATATTTGACTCTGTGTTACGTTTATTTGGAGGACATCATAGCTTCTTCGAAAGTTGGCTGGTATGTGTTTAATTTCTATACAGATCTCTCATTGCCCTGTGACTGCACAGGTCTCAGATTTTTCACCTTTCCACTAGTACAATGAATGCACACTCAAGGTGAAACCATTAAAACCTTATGTTAATATTAGGCAAGGTGATGCTGTTTGCTCTGTAATGTGTAGCTGGTATCCTGGGTGCAGAAAATGGAGTCAACCATCGCAGATGGGAAACAAAATGTAGGATTTCTCTGCTGAAACGTACTCTTGTAGGAAAGGAAGGACTGGGAAATTCTGGCAGATGAAAGGTCTACCTTAACACAGAAAAGCAGTAAGATGCTTCATGAGCTTGGGCCTAGAGAGAAGCCCTGCAGAGCCTACACCAAATTACCCATTCTGGAGAGGCCCATAACTCCACAATTAATGCAACAAAAGAGTTGGTCAACTCCTAAATATTAGGAAGCATGCAAGAGGAAGCCAATTTTTTGAATAATTTATAAGCAAACAATTTATAATGCTTTCCTTATTAAGTCTAATCACAGGTTCCTTCCAGTTAAGATTCTCGGGTTTATGGTCCCAAAATGATTTATAACACTTAAAAATTTTAAGAAAATAAAACTTCTCAATGAGGTGCTGTAAGAAAGGTTAAGAGAAAGGATTTATAACCTCCAAAAGCAATTGAAACCTTCAGGTCAGGCTGACCCTTCCCATGTGAATTAGTGGTAGAGCAAGTAAACACAGATGTCAGAAGGGATGTTGAAGGAAAAGAACTCTTTTTTCTGTCTTCTATTTCCCCTCATCATCTTGAAGTGCAAGACATAAAATGTTAGATTCTACAATTACTCCTTGTAATAGCTCATTACCTCTAAGGCAAGTATTCCCTACTTGAATGTCATTGAACATACGTAGTTTTAGATAAGCAGAACTCCTTCTACTGTTTCATCAACACAGAAAAAAAAACCCAGAACAACAACAAAAACAAACACCAAAACAACAAAACCCCACCCTAAGAAACCATCAAAAACCAAAACCAAACCAGATTTAAGGGCATTTTTAGTTCTTCTGTGTTCCTGTTTGTTGGTAAAAGGGGTGAGGTATTCTTCTACAAAAGACACCTACATCAATTACATTGCATAACAAACTGTACTACACTACATCACAGTGCATCTCCCTCTTATTTACCTCACAAGATACTGAAGGTAAACATTTCTGGAATATCTTTATGATTTTGGTATCGTCAAAAAACAGCCAGTTTTTGAGAATCATAGAATGGACTAGGTTGGAAGGGACCTTAGAGATCATCTAATTCAACCTCCCTGGCCTCACCCAACCTGGCCTTGAACATCTCCAGGGAGGGAGCATCCACAACTTCTCTGGGCAATCTATTCCAGAGTCTTGCCACCCTTGTACTGAAGAATTTCTTCCTAAGATCCAGTCTAAATCTATTCTCCTATACCTTAAATCCATCTCCCCTTGTCCTATCAGTGGACACTCTTGTAAAAAGTCCTTCCCCAGCCTTCCTGTACGTTCCCTCCAGGTATTGGAAGGAAGTTATAAGGACCCCCCGGAGCCTTCTCTTTTCAAGACTGAACAATCCCAGCTCCCGCAGCCTGTCCTCGTAGCAGGGGTGCTCCAGCCCCTGGATCATCCTTGTGGCCCTCCTCTGAACACGCTCCAACAGATCCATTTGATGTTGGCCAGGAGTTCCTTGTTCAGAAGAAGCAGTCAGGTTCATAAATCATAATACTTCTGAAATTCAGTCTGATTATTTTCATCTATTCTTTATTCACTACTTTTATTACATAACACTACATTTTAATCAAGATCATAATTCTATTAATTTTAAAGCTCTTACAGTTTTTTATACACTTCAGCAGTTTCTTCTCTGGCTACCTCTTCATTACAGCCACCAGCAAGGATATTTTATAGCTAAGGATATATCTCTCTACTCCAGAAGAGGTACTATTCAGTTGCAATACTCATTCCATACTTGCATTATTATACATACATTCATAGTACTTGTTTTATACGTAATTATTTGAAGTGACAGTTGATATGGGCCAATTTAAGAACTCATGATGTCATCATCAGCCATTTCCTGATGGATTCACTACCTCACCAGAAACTCAGAGCTGCAGGTTATGCAGTTGACAAGTGCACACTCAGTTCCAGAGAGACTGGCTGAAGTGGGACTAGAAGGTCTGCAAACCAAATTCCAAGGACTAATGAGGTACCGCTGCCAAATACATTTCTGAAAGGGCAGAGAATGTCCACCTTCATTCAGCATGGAACCACCTCCACATTTTTCAAGAAGAAAGGATTAATAATGTTCTTTTCTCTTAGAGGGTAATCAACTAAAATGGGTTTTATTCGTAAACTTGCTCTTACTTTGCTTTGCAATCCAAAAGTGTGCACTAACAATATCATAATCCTTGTTTAAATGTCCTATAAAGTTCACCAAGGTATTATACAGACTGAGTTATTCACAAAGTATTTCAAAACGCTACCCAGGAAATAGAAATTTCTTTTTTTTTCTATATTCAGGAATTATTTTTGTAGAATGCATAGGACTGCTCATCATTTTCTACTTCACTCTATCTCTAAAACTCTGTAACCATAAACAGTAGTTTACAGAGCTTGTAGAAGTTCAACTTGACTAGACCAAAAAGGCATTTATTCTTCCTAGAGATGCATCAACCAGCATGCTGTAACTAAGACATTCTACAGCCTCATCAAACCCCCAAACATTGTCCCTATACAAGATTCCAGCTTGGGCTTGATGGAGCAACCTGATCTGGTGAAAGATGTCCCTGCTCACCGCAGAGGGGTTGGACTAGGTGACCTTTAAAGGTCCCTTCCAGACCAACGCATTCTATGATTCTCCTGAGATATCTGTTAAAATACTGTTCTGCTCGACTACAACTCACTGGAGAACAATTTTTCAAAGAGACACATGGAAAGACAGAAATACTGCAGTATTTTGTGAAATAATTGAGATTTATAAAAATGATAGTGTATTTTATCCAGAAGGAGCAGGTGGCTGCTGCAAGCAGAGAAGACAGCAGGAAAGTTAACACAAAGCTGAAAGTAGCAGGTCACAAAAGTGGCATTTTGCAAAGAAGTGATGGAAGAAATTATTAGGAAGAAATTCGTCACTGTGAGGGTGGTGAGACACTGGAATAGGTTGCCCAGAGAAGCTGTGGATACTTCATCCCTGGGAGTGTTCAAGGCCAGGCTAGATGGGGCTTTGAACAACCTGGTCTAGTGGAAGTGTCCCTGCCTATGGCAAGGGAGTTGGTACTAGGTGATTTTTAAGGTCCCTTCCAACCCAAACTACTCTATGATCCTGTAAGTCTAGGAGAGGTAGTATAAAAAGCAGACAGCAACAGAAAAGTGATGTGATAGAGCTATCCAATTATCAGGAATACAAGTACAAGACATTTGAAGACAAAAAGCTGGAGGAGGAAGTGAGAGAAAAAGTGTTACAGAGACCATGTTGTTAAAGGGCAGAATATCAAAGATGTACGTTTTTATAAGCGCTATTTGAAAAACAGTGATTATGGAAAGAGACAGGGTGATGAAGCTAGGAAGTTGAAGACAGGCGAGGATTAGGAACGAAGCTGAAAAAGGACACAGTTCAATTGAAACTGAATCTTCAGTTTCTTATTCAGTCTTTATTTCAATTTATTGATTTAAAGTTCATATCATAAAAAGCAGGAAGATCATTTGATATTATTTCAGCTTTTGAACTGTTGTCAATTCATCTGTTGTCCTGGTCCATTTTTTTATCTAGTGTATGAAAAAATAAAATTTTCTAATCCAAGTGTTTATGGGTGAGAAAGAAATACATGTGCTTAGCAGGA